CCCCAAAACCCCAAAACCCCAAAACCCCATAAGGGTGAAATACATTTGAAATAAATCTATAATTTTTAGAGAATCGCTACTATGAAATGGCCTTCTTTTTTGCATTAAAATGTCTGCTTGAAAGCTATTCAACAGAAGCAGAGCCTGAAGCTGCAAACCATGCTTATCAAGGCATCTGGCTCTGCAAGAATTTGTAAGCCAAACCAGGATCCGATGGATCGTTCGAAACACAATCTACTGAAAGCGAGCCTCTCTTGTGACTATCCAAAAACACTTTGGGGTTGACTCTACTAATCTTTGGTGAGTTTAATTAGCCACAAACTTGAATTATTTCACCACTGATATTCCCAACAAAATCTTGTCTTTTCCAAAAATTGTAGCTAATTTATCAGAGACATAAAGACAATTTAAATTATTTAACTTTGAACACAAACTCAAGCGAGTGGACCTTCAAAGTCAGAAAAACCCAACCCAGAGAGCAAGCTTGACAAATTCTACAAAATGTTAGACTTAGTCGCTAGGCTCTTCATCTTTGTTGGCCTTGTTATGCTTGCTCATCTTCTGAAGCATGAGCTCTGCACACTGCTTATAGAGACCTTCGTTCTCGCTCAAAGTGGGGTTCTTAGCAATGAATGAGTCAATGTACTCTGGACTCAAGACTTTGGCTAAGACAAACCTCATCTCCGGAAGAACCATGAAGGCGTCCAGCTTCGAGTGTGAGTATGAGAAACAGAGACTGCGTAGTTCGTCTTTCAGGAGTTTGTCAGTCCCAGGGAACAACACAGAAGAGCCTTTGTCAGGGTCAACGAGCACAGTTAGGAACTGTTTGAGGTTGTCGAGTTCTCCGTGCACATCGCTCACATCCTCAGGAGACTCCACTTGCAAAGCGTAAGGAACGAATCTTTGCATGGCTTCATCAAACTGCTCATCAGGCATATCGAAGTTCATCTTGAGGACTTCAGAAGGATCTGAAGCAATCACAGCATCGAGGCCACCATCGGAGTCTTCAGGCTGGAAGAGGCCTGAGTTGATGCAGAATAGTCTGAACAACTCGGTGAATTCTCGTTTGGCTGCTCTGACCAAAGCTTTGTTGAGCACGTCAAGTCTCATGTTCTTTGTGTAGAACTCTGTCTGAGGGAACTCTCTGGGTCTCCCTCTGCCTCTCTTGACTGCAGGTTCTTTGACTTCTTTATATTTGGACTCTTCATTTTTGGCATCTTCACTGCCTCTTTCTTTGATGACTTCATTATCTTCGTTGCTATTTGAGTTGCTAGGGTCTTCTTTGGAAGCTAAACAATCAGACTTAAACACTGAAATCGGTGAACCTGAGAAACTACACTTCACCAGCAAATTGACATTAGGATTAAAATTCCTAATATCCTGATGTTTTACTGTAAATTTAAATGAAGCCATTGATGAAGGTTCAAGCTAAGAGTGTAATCCAAATAATGTTGGACTTTCAACGTCAAGCAGAAGATACTCCTAGGGATCCTCAATGGTCATACTCAGAATGATTTCAAACTGAAAGCTAGCTAGCCAAGGATCAGCAGAAGCTTTATTGCGAATCCACTATACTCAGCACAACATTTCAGACACACTAGTCAAAGATGCTCTTACCTACGATGGACTTCTTAGAGCTAAGGGGCTCTTTTTGCTGATCGTCTTCATCTTCAGCCTGAACAGAGACTTCGATCTTCATGCCTTTAGGATAGGAGGCCGTACACAGCAATGGAGGGTCTCCAGCATTTACTCCTAAATTATGGTTTGCCTGATATTCAAAAAGCATGAAGCTGAAAAGCAAAGTTTGAAGGCTAGAGAATCCCAATGGCTGATTACGTGCAGCCTGGTGACTTAGTAGGTTGAAAGAAACTCCCCTTGCATGTAAGAGTTAAGACATGGTAGAAAATATTTCCACACAAAATGAGGCTTATAAAATCTGGCTAAGTTAAAGGGCCTACTAATATTTTATGAAGCTATCTGGCGCCTATGGAGCTAGCTCTTGCCGTCAATTGCAAAACTAAAATTATGGATAAATCCTCAAGCTCCATATATCTAAGAATGGGGAGCCTAAAATTCTTAAAATTTCTACAATTATGAAAAATCTTTGATATTTTTGGCCTGAAAAATATAATATTTCGTTGAGGCTGGTCTTCAGGAGAAGCCACTTAGACATTGCAGTTTATACGTCAACATCAGCAGTTCTCCATATTTGCAGAGTTCTCCTATTTTACACAAGGCATCAAAGTGATGATCCTGAATCCCAGTTATGGTGAATTCACTTTGTAATTAAAAACTTTAAATTTAACAGGAGTCTCAAACTAAGATCCCATAATGTTTATGAGGCGTTATAAAGGCTGGGACGAGCTCTCTGCTGAATATGAGGAGTTTCTAGTCTAAGGAACTTAACTGAGATTATCTGTGTTCTCAGAAGCTTAACTCCCAAAGTTACTATTTCTGCTGAATTACATTAAATTTAGAGTGTAAGCTTGCTCTTACGGAATATAATGAACATAAGCCATGCATGCAGCCCAGCTAAGAAGTCAGTGTCTATACTAGCGACTGTCTGCTGCTGATTTCTCAAACTATCCAGAGTATCATTGGAAATTTCAAGTTAAGTTTATTGGTTATGAATGCAAATTTTATATAACTTCAAAACAAAGCTAACAGCTGAATTATTGCAACATGACGCAATTTGCTAAGTGGGGTCATCCCTGTGGCCTCTACAAATTAAAATTAGCAGTCATTTTAAACTATTCTGGCTTAATCTAGTAAACAGTTGCAATGGTGAACATTATTAAAAGGAAACTTAATGGCAACTATGAAACCACTCAGAAGTTTCCATGCAAGCTGCCAGTCAGAATAATCTATTTGAATGAACACCAGAAGACACACTCCCTTAGACTTCCATGGATGCCAAGGCAATTGTTCTGAGGCTGAGGTCCTAATCTAAAGAGTTCGGTTCTAACACGAACTAATGCTAAGTTTGTCTTGGTACTCCAGCCGAATGTAACCAACCCAAATGAGATGTAGTCTAGCTAAATAATATCAGGAGCCTAAGTCAACTTGGAGATATCCAAAGCTTTGCAGGCGTATCTTCTGACTGAGGTTGATTCCGAATTAACTCACTACCCAAGAAGTGTGCAGGTTGTATGAGCGACTACTAAAAGCATCCTCTGATGTAAACTCGTATTTTGTCGAACAGAAACTGAAGGTTCAAACTTATTTACTTGTGAGTGATCAACTCTTCACGGATCTTCAAGTCTCGAAGATACTCATGCTGAGATTGCTGGAACCGTGTTGGTGAAGACTGCAGGATGTAACCCCAATTTTGCCATAACTACCAGCTTATCAACACTCACAAGATGCAGAGCAGCACTTGATGGAGAGCATCTAGAGTGACTCTAAACCTCCTAAGTTATACTAAAGTTAATCTCTCTAACATTGCTGTGGGAAAAAACTGTTTTATGACTTGCAGCCTACAAAGCAAAACTCTGGTTGCACTTACCTTTGATCAGAATGTTCTGATTCATCATTTCTCAATCATGTGGCTGAGCTAAACAGAGTCAAACTTGGAATTCAAAATAGTTTCCATCATCATTAAATTATGCAAAATGATAGAAGCAAGCTATTGATGGGCCCAAAAGAGACTTGTAAAAGTCTTCATAAAGTCTACAGAACAGCCTTTGTGTTCAGGATGATTAAACGACTTGAAGTGCACAACAAAGTTGGCTTAGACACTGAGAGAACTATCTCGAATCAAAGAAAGCTAACTAATAACTCTCTAAACTCCTAGCTTCGTAAATCATTGATTTTGCAGTGAATTGGCAAATTAGTCACTTCCAAGTGTTCAGTTTTGTATTAGCAAGCTTTATTACTGTAAACAAGCTTAGTGAACTTGATTAACTTAAGAAATAACTCAGTTTAGCAAACTTTGTATGTTAAAATGAAACTTAGGCCAATTCAATCAAGCCATATTACCATTCCTTAGGCTTAAGAGAGCAACAAGTGCTACCAGCTGTGTTTAAAGCGTTTCTAAGCTTCAAATTGAGCAAGACAGGAAACTAAATCTTTGTCTACTCAAAGTGCAAGAATGTATACTAAAACAATGCAGCCTTTGTTGCAAATTAATTTTCATTGCAAATGCATATTCAAATGTCTAAATTTTGACTGTGCCGCATTAGCTAGCTCATCTGTAGTCTGTGCAGCCACCTCAGAAAATGAGTAAGCCTAGTTCATAACAGAAGCTTGTAAACTTATTTCTAAGTTGCTCAAATGCCGAAATAAAGCCAGAGAAACTGCTGTCTGCAATACCATTCTAAACTTAAAGTTCTGACTAGATACGATTAAGTTCCTACTCTAAGCAACTCAGCAGCAAGTTAGCCGCATGTGGACTACACCCTGGTTTTCTGTGTAACGAGTTCTCGCCAATATATTCCAGGTGCCGTTACCGCTAGAGTTACTAGAGCTTTGGAAGCAGTAAAAGGCTTTCACAAAATATTCTCAAATTCTACAGAAATGTTGTGCAGTTCAGCCTATTTAGAGACTCTGGGTTTATCGTCCTGAGTTTTGAGGTATGCTAAGCCTCCTAATTCGTTCAAGAATTTGCTAAGCTACTAATGATGCTTTAAGCTGTAAAATCTAAAGTTTCGGTTTTAGCCAGCCAAATCTAAACTGTTTCACCGAGTTTCCTTGCTAAATGCAGACTCTGCCTTCTCCTAACAACTAAATGTTCAGAATTTAACCCAAATCTTAAACTGGGAGTCTTTTTATCTAATATCCACATTTGTATAAGCAGCAAGAGCCTTTGATAAGAATAGCTCTTGCAAATGCTTGTCTCATTATCATTGATAGTCTATCTAAAGTCTGTGTCTTACCTGCCATTCCGCATGTTCAGTAGGCCTCCAAGTCAAGGCTCGTGTGGCTTTGTTCTAAAGCAAGGTTAGAACCAATGAGTCAAGAGCTATTTTAGAGCTGCAGCCTCTGCAAGCTTACAAAGAGTCAGCCATTAAACTGTCTGTGTTAACATAATTTAAATTTTTAGTCTACTGAAAACTCTTAAATTATCTGCAGTAAAAACAACAAGAAATTGGTGTTTTTACGAGTTCGAAATCATGATCAGGCTTATTCAATACTAGTCCAGTCACACAAAGCATAACTAATTGCTGGCATCGCTTAATCACAATAGATTTAGTTAATCCCAAGATAGCACTGCCCAGGCTGGCTTAAGTGCATGCTAAGATGAGTGTCACTCACTCTTGTCATCTTGGACCTCGTCTGGTTGGCCTGAGCCGACTAAATAGTGAGAGGACTTAGAGGTAAAATAACATACCTTTGGGTTTTCTCTTAATAATCATCTTGCTTATAAAGAATTTGAATAATATATAATCAACTTTAAACCCACCTGTAGGGGTTTTGGGGTTTTGGGGTTTTGGGGTTTTGGGG